GGGGAGGGGGGTTTAAAGCGCAGCTCCCGGAGCAGCTCCGCGTCCCCTCCCCCGGGACGGCGGCAGCCGCAACTCCGCCGCCGCCTCCACCAACACCGCCACCTCCTCCTCCCTTCCCTCCTCCTGCTGCTCGCCCGTCCTCTTCCGACTGCGGAGGGGCCCGGGCGGCGCGGGGGCTGCCGAGTCCACAGGTAGGAAGAGGACGGGCGAGCAGCAGGAGGAGGGAAGGGAGGAGGAGGTGGCGGTGTTGGTGGAGGCGGCGGCGGAGTTGCGGCTGCCGCCGTCCCGGGGGAGGGGACGCGGAGCTGCTCCGGGAGCTGCGCTTTAAACCCCCCTCCCCCCCCCCCCCCCGCCCCCCGCGGCCGGCCCCCCCCCCGCGCGAGCCCCGCGCGCGCGGACACGCCCCGCGCCGCAGCGCGAGCCCCAATAAACAAGCGGCGGGCGCGCGGCCGCTCCCATTGGCCGCCGCCTCCCTTCCCCCTCCCCCCCAGCGGCGGCCCCGCGCGCGCCATTGGGCAGCCGCGGACAGCGCCCCCATTGGGCAGCGCCGCCAGCCCCCGGCGCGTTCGATTGGCCGGCGGCGGGGACCGGAAGGGCAACGGCGCGGCGCGATTGGCTCGGGGAGGGACGACCGGGAGGGCGGGGGGAGACCAGGAGGCAGGAGGGCGCCGGGGGGCGGGGCCGGCGCGCGCGGCGCGCACGCGCGGCGGTGGCCCCGGCGCCATTTTGTGCGCGGCTCTTTCCCATTTTAGGCCGCGGGAAAGGGAGGGAGGAGCGCGAGCGGTGCGTCGGGAGTGCTCGCGGGAGCCTTTGGATCTGCCGAGATGCCCATCCCGAGCTCTGCGGAGGCGGTATCGCGTCTCTTCCCGGCCGCTGGGTGTCGGCGGTGGCCGTCCCGCTGTCGGCGGCGGCGATGGCGCAGCGCGGGCCCGGCCGGAGGCGGAAGTGGAGCGGCCGCCATGGAGGCGCCGGGACCGCCCGCCGTGAGGGCGCGGGGCCGCCGGGGCCGCCCGAGCGCCCCGCGGGGACACGGCCGCGGTGCAGGTAGGGGCTGCCGGCCCGCGGGGGAGGGCGCAGCTCCACCGCCGCTCAAACCCTCCCATGACGTGAGTGGGGAGGGGATCCAGCGGCTCCGGCCGCACGGCGGGTTTCCCCCTTTCCCGCCACAGGAAGACGCAGCGAGGACAGGGACGAGCAGTGTGGAGCGGGCTGAGGGCTTCTCTGCGCGGTGTATATGGGGATTGTAAGCTTGTGTGGCCCAGGATAGGCTCTTGAAGTGTAGCCTGACAAGGCAGGGTCCTTGCACCACGCAGGGTCCGCTGAGAGAGTTTGGTCTTAAGTGACCAGCTTTGACTGGAATAAATAGGAATTACTGACTGAAGCCTATAATAAAATGATATTTTTAGCGTTAGTTTCACGTTTTGTCTCATTATGTAGAATTTGCTCCGTGGCTCTTGGTAATGCAGATCAATAATTTTAATTCTGAATTAATAAGTCCATAATTTTTACTCCAAAGTAATGGATCCATAATCTTTATTCCAGAATCATGGGCATCTGTTTGACAATGCTCGCTCTGAGCTACAAGACGTCCCTTAGGGTTACCTGAAGCAACAGTGCTGCTTTGACAGAAGTAGTTTGTTAGTTCTGTTGTGGTTTCCATATGAGTGGAAACCTTCTGCTTTGAAGGTGGCTTTTTTTGTTTTTTTATTATTTTTAATGAAATCTGATGCTTTGGAATGCAGCAAGCACAGGGTGACTTCTCCAGGGAGGGCAGTGAGCGGTGGTGTGTGGTACAGGTAAGGCTCTGAAGGTTTAATAAGGCTTAAAGCACACGAAGCATGTTTAGAATTGATTGTGGGGGGAAGCTCTGGAGTTCTGGTGTTGGGATCTGGGTTCTAAATATAAAGGTGCTTGAGGGTGTATAAAAAATGTGTAAAAGTTTGAGGCATTTAATACTGAGGAAACTTTGACACTGTGCTGGGGTTCTGCTTCATGCTGAGGGTAAACTGAAGAGTTCTTCACTCTTCACAAGGGCTTGGAGTGACAGGACAAGGGGGAATGGATATTCAGACTGACAGAGGGCAGGGTTAGATGGGATATGGGGAAGAAATTCTTGGCTGGGAGGGTGGTGAGGCCCTGGCACAGGTTGCCCAGAGAAGCTGTGGCTGCCCCATCCCCGGAAGTGTTCAAGGTCAGGTTGGACGGGGTTTGGAGCAACCTGGGCTAGTGGAAGGTGTCCCTGCCCATGGCAGAGGGGTTGGAACAGGATGGTCTTTGAGATCGCTTCCAACCCAAACCATTCTGTGATTGATACTATGATTTAGAAGCTGTTAAATTGAACCCAAACGTTTAACAGAACTTGCAAAATTCACTTTGAATGTGAACTTCAGATCTCCCTGGGGAATGTGTTTGCCAAATCCTGGCTTAGATTGTGAGCTTTTCTGAGGCAGGGTTTGTATCTGTGTATCGAGTCTAGTGCCATTCAATAAATAACAGTTTGTAACAAAACTAATCAGTCTTGTTTCTGATTTCTAGCAGAAAAACCCTGCCCACCTGGATGTATCCATTACAGCTGGCACCTTTAGGAGGTTCACAGCACTTCCCCATGGAGCTGTTGAGAGCAGAAGGACTTTATTTCTCTATAGCCAGTGAGCAGGAGGGGTGACTTGTTCTTTTATGGTATTTTAAGCACCTAAGAATGCCCAGTGGGCAGCTCAGCACAGTGTAAATGTTCTCACGTGGCTCAGAAATGATGTTTGGTGTCATGGAATGAGAACTCTGTGCTTTTGGCAAGCCAGAAAACAGGTCTTATTTTGGTTTAAATATTTTTTCATTGGAATATGAACTTCAGGACTCAGAGTTATGCCATGATACTGAAATATTTCGTCCTGAATGTCAGTGTTAACCAGCCCTGAGACTTGAGGCCAGCTTGGCTGTGCTGGATCTTTGTAGCTGTTCCCATCCCGCTGTGCAATCCCTTATAGGGAAACTGTGGAAATGAGAGGAAGAAATGAGCAGTGGACTTCTCTGTGGTGAACCATTTTATCATGGGCTGCTCTGCTAACTGTACAAAGTTAACACTTTATAAGATCATGGTCATTTTAGTATCTAATCTCTCTGTAAGCAGACATTCTGTGAGGTAGAAGTATTTTATTTTTTTTTTTTTTAGGTTGAAAGCTGCAGTATTTGTCTTATCTGTGCTTTGTTAATGCCAAAGGTCTTGCAGGTGCTCCTGTAGGTGCAGCACAGGGGAGTTGCCTGGGGACATGCATTTGTGCAAATTAAAGGCTTCTTAATTTAAAAACAAAAGCATTAAGGCACTCTAAGCATGGCACTGGTCATATATAATCCTAGAGCTTAGGTGATGGCTGTAAGTAGATTTAAAAAAATGTATTTTAAGATGCCTTTGATGTATCAGTTGCAGAATATAGAGAAATTTTGCCCAAAGTCTTCCATACATTTGGCACTCAGTAGGAAAAGGCAAATATAGGAATGTCTGTATATGTTACAGGTCTCTATAAGAACAGCAGTGTAAGTAACTGTTGAATGTATCACGTGGCTTCCTTGAGAGCAGAGACAAAGTAACAAGAAGAGAGATTTCTGGGATAAGTAAGATGTTTTTATTCTGTTTAGTAGTCACCTGTTGCTCTTGACATACTTCCTTTTTGTGTAGTTAAACTCAGAATACATGTACAGTCACAGCCACAATATACCAGAAATATTAAATATATTCTAACACTGAGCTTTAAATATAATGAAATAACTGTCCTTTTCTGTTAGACTTTGCAGGTGCTCAGGGGACTTCTAGCTTCTTTTATTTTTGTCTCAAGTATTTAGTTCCTTTTTTTTTTTTGAAATGCCTTTCCTCTTGGTGTATCTATTTTGTAATTAATTAGGCAACATTTGTCCAGTGGTGGTTCAGATCCTCTGTGTGGAACTGCAGTATTTCCATACAAATGAAGGTCATGTGCTTCCCACTAAGTTTTATTATCTAAGTGATTGCAAAGAAGTTCTGAAGTACTTGATGTGCAGGTAGGAAGGGAGGAAATCCCAATGGATATGAAGTTGACATTCAGTAAAGT